AAAAGATCTGGCGCACCACTGCCTCTTCTGCAATCAGTGGCATGAGCGTTCGCACACCATCAAAATACATCTGCGCAGCATGCAGCCTGAGGTCAGAACACATCCGAGACAACATCTCTCCACTTGCGTTGCGCTCTGGCAGATCTGCCTTACTGCACTTCATCATGGGCATGAACCCCGCAACGGCGGACTCTGCGATGGAAGAGCTCTTAGGCCCGGCTATGCGGCGAAAGAGGCCTCAAACCGAGGAGCCGACAGACGCAGCGAATGCACCCGAGCGCCAGAACAGGCATGCAAACCCAACTCAGGTGGGAAAGGAAAGGGGCATCGCTACGGCAGGGGGAATCGCTCGAGCAACAGGGAGGAGAACACCAGGGTCAGCCATCCCAACCACGGGGTCAGCAGGGTCAGCAGGAGACGCTGCGCCTAGTGACCAGACACCATCAGGAGGCGATCTCAACCCTCCGGCTCAGTACGGGTGGGTCTGGTGGCTCAAGATTCACTCACCGTCGCCAATCCCGGCCCTGGTTCAGGCGGCCAAGGTGTGGCGCGAGTCGGTCGTCAAACCGGACAGCAAAAGCGCAAGAACACTCCCATCCGACAGGCAATGAGCTGGAGCCTAATGGAGTTCCGCCTGTCCTCGGTGCAGAACCTGAGCGAGGAGACCCCAAGCAGGTGAAGAGCTCAGGATGGGCCAACGATGCCGGCCTTTGGGTGTTCCAGCGATGGTGCCCGGAGCTCAAGGCATTGACAGTGGACACCACACGGATCCCCATCTCGCAAGGAGAGCTTCAGAGGATCATCAAGGACATCCAGGGAGTCCTCCACCCGGACACACATCTCCAGGTTTCATGCGCTCCGGGGCCTCGAAGAAGGAATGGAGGGCCAGACGGTGAGGGTATGATGGACGTTGCCAACAGATGCCCAGAGGCGAATCAGCTGTACGACCTTCTGACGCAACTGCAGGGCTGCGCCGCCCTGCAACTGGCCGGAGTACAGTTCCGACGGGAGACCATGCAGCGACCGCCCACGCTTCAACAGCTCCTGGACCGCGTATACTCCTGAGGACCCTAATGCTAAATAACCCCGGCAACTATTGCTGCTTTAACGCCACTGCCAGAGCACTCCTATGGTCAGCCTCTCGCAGGATGGCCCGCTTGCTCTCACGACCGCTAGAAGCCAGGCATTCGCATTCCTTGGTCGACTGCCACGCCGCCCCCACTTCGTCCCAGGTATGCTCTTATGGCGTTTTGCCATGGCAGGCTGGGCCAACGCACAGCGACAGCATGACAGCGCCGAATTCCTAGCACACTTGATCTCCAAACTCTGCCCTCAGGCGACTCTCGGGGAATGGGAGGCGCGCAGGGACACAGAGGCCGGACCGCGTATTGTCGAGTCGGGCTAGTGCCATCAGGCCATCACTCTGGACCTCCCAGAAGGGGATGAGCTTGTGGCTACACGGTGCGCTCACTGCACAGGCTTCCGAGCTTCCGCTCCAGTTAGACTGAAGAAGGCTCTGATGATCATGTCACATCACAGGCAATGCCGAGCACACCTGTGTCTCAGACACAGTTGGAGCGGGGAATAGCCTCGTGTTGTGCGCATTGGTCCTTTACTTTTTAGTTTATGTGCATCGTCATTCGTGACGGTGCTCTTGGTACGCTCAACAGCAGCGTGATGCACCTTGCATCCGGCGACTACACGCCGACCTAGTTCCTGTCGCAACGTTCGGATCTCTCCTAACTGTGGTACAAACAACCACCACCACCACCACCACCACCACCACCACCACCACCACCACCACCACCACCACTACTGCTACCACCACCGCCACCACCACCACCACTACCACTACCACTACCGCTACCCCTACCACTACCACCACCACTTACGACACCACTACCACTACCACTACCACTACCACTACCACCACCACCACCACCACCACCACCACCACGACCACGACCACGACCACGACCACGACCACGACCACGACCACGACCACGACCACTACCACTACTACTACCACTGCTGCTGCTACTGCTAGTGCTGCTGCTACTTCTACTGCTACTGCTTCTTCTTCTTCTGATACTACTGCTACTACTGCTACTACTGCTACTAGCACTACTAACAAGAGTAATAATAATGGTAGTGCTGCTCGTACTGCTGCTACTCCTGCTGCTAGTGCTTCTACTGTTTACTACTACTTCTTCTTCCTCTGATTATGACAGTTCTGATCGAGACGCTGCTCGAGGTAGTCGCAGTGGCAATCATGGTAACGCTTGAAGAAAGCAGAGGTTATAGTTTCTGCAAGCAGCACTAGCAGCTGATCCCGAAAGTACTGAGACGAGTCGCTGAGTACTTCCAAAACATAAAAGGCGTGCCTTTTGATGAACATGCTGAGTCTGTCCCTAAGCAGTGAAACGGATTTAGCTGCTACTGTTTGGGCGAGGGTCTCATTTTCGGCGCTGATGGCTCGAGACTGGGGCTTGTTGTTCGCGGTGTGTTTGAAGGGATACCCTGCATGCGCATGCGACGGACCCTAAACCAGCAACAAGAACCAGCAACCCGTGACCATCGATGATAAGCCCACGCCCTCTTATGGAACCTAGTGAGATTTCCACAACTCCCTCCCCTCTAAAGCTCGTAGAACACTAAACTCCCTTAATACCAAGAGCCCCCAAACTCTGACAGGATCAGCCTCTGCCCTCATTACTGAACCTGTCTGCCTCAACAAGGACCATGATCGGGATGCAAAATATTCGGGCCTTGAAATAAAGCGGTCTTAATGATCATAGGCCTGCATGAAAATGCAGGACCCTACGTTGAGTAAAGAGGAGCCCAAGCATCGCAACAAGCAACAACCCCCACTCAGCTGAAACATGACCTGAGCTACTGCCAACTTCATCTAGGGTTTAGGGCTTAGGAAAAAAAGGATTAAGGTTGAGTTTTAAGAGCTCCAATAAAAGGCTTTCTTCGGGAGTCTTGGGGTTGAGACTGCAGGCAGGCACATCACACAGTGCCGTTACAAGGAACCCTCTTCTGGAAAATCCTACCTAGCCTTTCTTTAGGGATCTCTTTCAGTGCGGACCCTCACCCGAGCTTGCGTATTCTTCGCTCTGCATCGCGGGTTTTCGTCAGTCCCTCCGCGCCCGAACCACTCCCAGAAACCTCGAAGTCCCTAAACCCTAAACCCTAAACCCGAATCTCCACCCAGCACACCATCCTCCGACTAGTGCCGGGGACCCTAAATTCGAAACCCTGAACCCCCAAAACCCGACACGCCTCAGGGGTTTATGGTCTCGGGATTCGGGTGCTTCGGTTGATCATAGAAATCCTGCATTACCCATAATAAGGAATATACAGTAATTCCCATAGTTTAGGGCCCTTAAGGTAATGCAGGATTTATATCATCACCCTAAACCCAAACCCTACAACCCTATACTTAAAGGAACCCCTTGAAGGTACCCTTGTAGATCCCCTTAAAGGAACCCTATAGGGATTTATATCATCAACCGTTAGGGCTTATAATAAGCTCTGGGGACTCTCGGGCCGGAATCCGGGAATCCGAAGGGCTTAGACCGGTACCCTCTGATGCAATTGCATTCTGCAGCTTCTACAGATTCCCACACCAGGAGTTTCACACAACAAGGGCCTTCCTTAGTTCCTGACATAGGCTTTCCTTCATTCCTTGAAGAGGGTTTGGGGTGGAGTATAGAGGAGAAGGGCTTGCTGTGCATACTATTGCAGACGGTTCACACTTCTGCATTGCCTCAGACATCCTCTACTTTATGAGAAGGACCCTTCTCTTCCACATCTTTGTACGGGTCCTTACCCTGAGCCGTTTCGACCCCTGCACCTGCTTCGAAACTAGTGTTGATGATATAAATCCTGCATTACCTTAAGGACCCTAAACTATGGTAATTATGGTATATTCCTTACTATGGGTAATTCAGGATTTATATCATCAACCGTAGCACGCGCTTGGATGCCACCAACCCCTAAGCCCAAAACCCTAAACCGCGAAGCATCCATGCTCATTCCTACTCTGCGGCTTTTCTATTGCAAAGGCTCTTCACCCTACTTAAAGGCTCATAAGTAGGTTATAATTAGGATAACCCCACTTAGGGGACTTATAACCCCAATTATAATCTACTTACTAAGTCCCATGATCCTTTAAGTAGACCCTGAAGCAGAGGATGGCCAACAGCTTCCTGGCGCTTTCTTCATCTTCCTAGTCATCTCGGAACTGTTCGTCTCGTCCAGTTTATGTCATCGAGGATACTCCCGGTGGCTGCAGTTGGATTTGTGCCACAGCAGGCGCAGTTAAAACACACGAATCTACGGCATCGCGGGTTCTTGGCTATGGCGGATAGCTAGACCTCAAACCATGAAAGCTTAAATCAGTAGTAGTACTATTCCTCAGTGTTCCTCTGGAAAGTTGTACTGTAGTCTGGGCACAGGGGACAGGTTCTAGACAAAAGGAGGACAGGGAGGAGGATCAGCGACAGCGACGGCGCCAGCAGCAACAAACACCGCATCACCACAAGTGCAGTGCCGTGGCAATGTCTGACAAAGCCGACGTCACCATCGCCAGCACGATGGACCGCAAGAATGCTCTGTCGTCATCATCGTCACCATCATCGTCATCATTATCGTCATCATCATCTTCGTCATCATCATTATCACCAGCATCATCGTTATCACTACCAGCATCATCATCATCATTATCACCACCATGATTTTTGAAATAATAGCATCGGTAGAACATGAGAATATCTCCCTTGGGGATTTTCGTGGCCAGCCGTTCTTATCGGTTTAGGGTTTGGGGTTTAGGGTTTAGGGTTCCGACTGTCTACTGCTTGCCCTCATCCAATCAGATTGTCGAAGCCGACAAAACAGTAGACCTAACAACTTTAACAAAGATCATCAGAGTTGCGAGATATGAATAGCGAATCACCCGATTCTTGCCCCAGCTCCTGGACTCAAAGGCAGCCATCTCAAACGTTCCTGGACGTTTGGGATTAGACTTTAGGGCGTAGGCTTTCGGTGTTGAGTTAAGCGTCTGGAAGGTAGGGTCTGGAATGTACCTAGTTGGTTGATGTGATGGCCATTGGGGTTGCTAGTATGACAATGCGACAATGGCTGTTAAGTGAGCATCCAACTGGAGCCCTCAACGTCTAACTCCGAGTGCCCACATTCTCAACTCTCACAGGTGTCTGGAAGTCAAAGCGGAGATACGTAACCTGGATGCAACCCTACTTAAAGGATCATGGGACTTAGTAACTGGGGATATAAATAAGGTAACTATATCGATAATTACTTAAAACCCCAGTTAAGGTACTTATAACCTTACTTACTAAGTCCCATGATCCTCCAAGTAGGGTTCTAACGAGACCTACATCCTACACCCCACGAACCCAAGCCCTCAATCCTCAAACCTCAGATACCCGCAAAAACTTAGACTTTGGAAGCATGAACCAAGCCTTACACCCACAACAGAAGCAGCTGCTACTCGTACTCCTCCTCCTACTACATCTACGTCTGCATCTGCATCTACGTCTAAGTCTACGTCTATGCTATCGATGATGATGCTTCGAGTTCAGGGCCCATGGGCCTGTGCTGCTTGGGACGCATCTCCCACAAGCCATCCTCGCCAAGAAGCTGGCTCGGGGTTTAGGGTTTGGGGGTTTGGGGGTTTAGGGGTTTCGGGTTTAGCTTAGGGTTCAGGGTTCCGGTTTAGGGGTTTAGGGTTTAGGTTTAAGGGCTTCGTGGTTGGGGTTTAGGGGTTAGGGTTTAGGGGGTTTTGGGGCCAACTAAAGCAGCAAGAATTTGATGCACCGGTTGTTTTGGGGGCTCAGGGCTTGGGGGGTGCGAGGGCGCGAAGTCTTGAAAAGTACTTCGGGGCTCGGGGCTATGCCATCGTCAGAGAGTTTAGGAAGTTTAGGACCCCGAAGCCGGGAGACATGAACCACTAATGTCACCAAGCTTTCTTGGGGAAACACCCAGATGTCAAGCCCTCATAAGCGAAAAGTCGTGGGATGTAGGGTTTGGGGTGATACGGTTGATGATATATATCCTGCACTACCTTAAGGACCCTAAACTATTGAAATTATGGTATATTCCTTATTATGGGTGATGCAAGATTTAGATCATCAACCGTAGGACTTAGGATTTCAGGTTTCGGATTTACGCCTATGGCCTGGAAAAAGCTGCTGTTGGTTGGCAATCAGTGCAACACAAGTTGCGCAGAAAAGCGCAGGATACTGAAAAGAACGCCACTGAGCACTCGGGCCTTGAACCCCTAAACCCTAAACCCTAAACCCCTAAACCCCTAAACCCCTAAACCCCTGAACCCCTAAACCCCTAAAGCCCTAAACCCTGAACCCCTTCAACCCGAAACCAAAGGAACCCCAGCCTTGATCTCCTTCAGCTCGGACTCCTCAGTGCGCTTCAGTTGCTCCGGGGCTAAAGGACCCTTACAGGAACCTTAGTGTCCCTTTTGGGGTCCTTATAATAATATTAATCATAATAAAAATAATAATAATACGGCACCTATTATTTAGGGTACCCAAAAAGTGACCTTGATTTTGACAACTATCCACATGTCTACCCGAAAGGCCCAAGAGGGCCTCGACCTTACAGTAGAAGCCAGAAAGTTGGAATATCATTATCGTAACCCCTTTAAGGTAAATTATAGGGGATCCTACCATTAATCCATATTCCAACTTTCTGGCTTTTACCTTAAAGGAACCTTTAACAGAACCCTTAAAAGCAACCCCTAAAGGAACCGTGCAAGAAAGAGCCCCTTAAAGGAAGCCATAAACGAACCCTCAGAGGCTCGCTGCCATGCCCTGCAGAACCCAGAAATCCAAACTCCTGTCCAAAACTCGGTCAAAAACCTCGGATGCAGCCTCTTCCATCAACCCCAACCCCCCCTGAACCCTAAACCCTAAACATCCCTAAACCCTAAACCGCAGCCCCCTAAACTCAACCTGAAACCCGAGACATGAAACCCACGCAAGTCGACCCCGTCCCAAAACCCCAGACTGACAACCCTGGCGCCTGGTATGCCTCTGGGTTTAGGGTCTAGGGTTTAGGGTTTAGGAGTTGGGGGTTTAGGGTTTAGGGTTTAGGGGTTTAGGGGTTTAGGGTTTAAGGTTTCGGGTTTAGGGGTTTGGGGCTTAGGGTTTAGAGCCGGCCTGAAAACCATCTGACGGAGCCTGAGAGGACGATGCCCGCCCCACATGTCTCTACAGACAATGCCCTTTAGTACCTGGTAGCCGCACAGAGCCCTTCGACAAGACCTGATAGACATATGATGCCATGTAGTACCCGTATAGTAGTATCGTGGCCTTTCCGAAGCCTCCTAGACCTTTTCAATCTCTGATTCGGCAGCTAAGGCTCCACATAGGTTTGGAACTTGCCTTGCTCTTTGATCTGCCAAGTCTGGTCGTGGATGATCCTTCGGCTTTTCTGTTGGGTTAGGGTTTAGGGATGAGGGGTTTTGGGTTTAGGGTGTGGGGTTTAGGATTCGGGGGTTCAGGGTCGAGGGGTCGCCGGTTTGGTAGCATCTCCGAGACCCATCGCCGAGCTACGCCCTAAACCCTTGAACCCAAAATGCTATACAAAACGAGCTTCCCAGCATCCCCTTCAAAATAGCAGCATCCTCTTAAGCCATCCCAAACCCTCAACCCCAACTCGAAACCCTAAGCTGTGGGTCTTTCCGATGTCGATGGCTTTGGCAGTGCCCCGCACGCGCAGGCAGCCCATCAAGAACTCCTGCACACACACTTTCCCTGGCTTGAATGTTTCAAGGGCTCTTGAAAGGGATCTTTTTCGGGATCTATAGGGTTCCGTAAAGGGATCTATGGGGTTTGGGGTTTAGGGTCTACTTAAAGGATCACGGGACTTAGTAACGGGGGTTAGCAATAAGGTAACAATACTTATAGTTACTTGTAACCACAATTAACGTACTTATAACCTTGCTTACTAAGTCCCATGATCCTCCAAGCAGGGGCTTTCCTTGAGTTTGCACGTTAATGTCGAAGCCACGAAGATGAGTGTTGCTTAGGTACTGCCCCCATACAGTAAGAGTCTATAATAGGGCTACCATTAAGGTCCGAATATATCTATATTATGAATATTCTTAAACTATTACTGAGTGGGGGCCGTACCCAAAGTCTTGCTGAGCTTTCTGATGCTATACCCCCAGGCCTTGTCAGAATCCTCAGCGACCCCAAGAGGAACCTTTAAAGGAGCCCATCACAAGACCATGCTCTGAATGTTACCTGGGGGCCGTGAAGTCTAGAATGCGGCGGTTTTGGTGTACTTTTATACGATGATTTCTGCAAAAAAAAACGTGAAGAAAACCATTCGAATGATTAAGGCCTCGAGAGTAGTTGAGCTTCCGCATTGCGGTTTGGAGAGAAGCTCGAGGTGCTTGGGCTTCAAAGCTTAGCAGCGTCAGGAGTTTCAGGGCGAGAGCTTGGGGGATTAGGGATCAGGGTTTAGGGTTTAGGGTATAGGGTTTAGGGTTTTGGGGTTTAGGGTTTAGGGTTTAGGGGATTAGGGATCAGGGTTAGGGTTTAGGCTGGGGCTTTGGGGTTTGGGGGAAAGATCTCAGCATGCCCTGTGCGCACGAAAAAGACTTCTACTCTCTGCCTTCAATCTAAAACTCTTGAGACGAAACCTGCAAAAGAGGTCAGCGGAAGGATAGCTGCTGTAGCACTTGGGATCTATAAGGGTGCTATAACATAGGGGCGTAGATAATTACCAAAACTACTTTGGTGGTTCCTTATTGTATTTATAGTGTGGCAGAGAAAAAGCGACCCCAAGTACAGACCCTAAGCCGTCTGATCCTCATTCTACCAGAGCCCCCCGATTTAGGTAAGGCTTACTTGAAGGATCATGGGACTTGGTAAGTCGGTTATAATTGGGGTTATAAGTCCCCTAAGTGGGGTTATCCTAATTAAAAGCTACGTATAATCTTACTTACTAAGTCCCATGAGCCTTCAAGTAGGGTTGGGGGACCAGCAATAGAAGGGCAACCTGTTGTCTGGGTCCTCGATGTCCACGGCACCGCCTCCAAAACCATCAGACAGAGCTTCTGATGCCAGGTCGTAGGTTCGAAACTTACCATTGAAAGCACAGCTGGGGACAAAGAAACCGAAAATCGGACACACCCGAGGTCGGTCCATTCTTCGCCGAAGCACTATCATCCAGATCCAGCATTTTGAAGAAAGACCAGGCATCCCACACATCCTCAGCACGTGATGATCCCACGATGCACCAAACAAACAGCCTCTCGCAGAAATCTGAACTGCCTGTCCGGTCACTGCTGCACAGGTCCAAAACCCTTTAGTAAGTAAGGTTCCTTATTGGGCTCCTTAAAGGAATCTATAGGGTTCCTTAAAGGGATCTATAGGTCCCAAATCCATCCCATACCCCCAAACCTCAACCCCGAGCAGAGTGTCGGCTTGGCCTGGTTTGGCTACTTGGAGGATCATGGGACTTAGTAAGTAAGGTTATAAGTACCTTAGTTGGGGTTTTAAGTAATTACAGATATAGTTACCGTATTTATGACCCCAGTTACTAAGTCCCATGATCCTTTGATTAGTGATGTTGCTGCTGAACTTAATCTCAGTTAAGAGCTGTTGGCTTCAAGCTCGCACATGAAGACCTGCCACACTTCCACCGAAGAGAATGCATCCGTGTGACGAGACCCAGGGACTCGAAGTACTCCTTCACTTCTGGAGATGTTATCTTCTCCTCAAACATGAGGTAGGTGATGCCACCTGTATTCTCCGCCCCCAACTTGTTGAAAAGCTCCCGCACCTGCCACCGGACGCATCGTTAAAGGAACCCTGCTTGGAGGGTCGGGGGACTTAGGAACTGGTTATTTTGGGGACTTATAAATACCATAACCCCAATTAGGGTCCCTTTTAGATTACTTATAAGTCTACCTACTTACTAAGTCCCCCCTCCAGGTGAGATTTATTGCTTTTAGGGTTTGCGGATTTGGGACTTAGGGTTTCAGGTGTAGGATGTGAGGTTTGGGACGCAGGCGCTCGCGGTGGCGGGCACGGAAGGCCAGAACGGACAAGTCACGGCAAGCAAATGCGCATCCCAGAACATATCCCGAACAGTGGACAATGACCTGTTGGAATGCCATAGATCGGAACTCTCAACCCCACAGACCCTATAAGCGACTAATTGGACTTGAACGTGCTGGCCCGCCTTTTCAAGGTGCGCTTGTTTGTTGGCCAAGATGGTATGGACCACAGTGGCATGATCGTTTTGCGCACTGTCGATGGCTGACTGGCAAAATACCTGGGCCCCAACTAGAAAAGATCCGCTCTGATTACTCGCATAAAGTATGTGGACACTAGAACCTAGAGACCACAACGAGCAAAAGGATCCATGATGCTGACCCGGACACGCCAGTAATTACCTGAGACTTGCGGCGGGGTCGAAAACAACTACTACATACGTCACTACGTGCAAAATCGCCAAACGCCAGCAACCCTAAACCCTAAGCCCTAAACTGAATGCTTGCTGCAGCCAGCCGCATTCAGCACCGCAAAATACGTGAAGAACCTCGGCCAGCTGCGATGGCTTCGTGCGCACACATCTGGGAGTTTCTGAAAATTAGGGGTTCTTTATAAGGGTACTACATGGGTTTGTCTAAAGGGCTCTATAAGGGAACCTGGCTATAATTTAAACATGGCAAATACTCCCAGCACAGACTCGAGCGATTTGCAAACACCACACAAGGATATACGAAGGAAGAACATCACATTGTGTCTTTAGCTACGGAAGGTGGTGCATCCTGCACATAGCACGACACAACTACGAGCAACACAGGTCCCCCAAACCTAAACCCAAACCCCGAAAGGAAGAATCTCAAACCTTAAATCCAAATCGCAAACCGTTAAACCCAAATCCCAATGCCTGGACTGCACTTCAAGCCGACCGACATTTCCCAAAGGAATCCTGTTGCAATGCTCAGGAGGACCCTGGTAAACTGCCCTCGCAGCTTAGCGCCATGTTGAAAGCCAACCCTTCCAGACTGTTCAAAGGCCTCGCAAAGGAACCCTTAATCAGGGCTGGAAAAGGGCACTTACAGCTGAGCGACATGTAGAAGATGAAAGGGAGCACCCGTGTGGAACCCTTGTAGACCTTACGAGCCTTCGCAACCATGTGAACCCATGTACAACTTCAGGCTGAGCCGCATGTAGAAAAGAAACAGCAGCACCCACGGCGCAGAAATGGCTTTCAGTGGAACCAGCACTTGCTCCCAACTCACTCCGCCCGCAATGCTCATGAAGAGGCCTCAGCTTTTTCAACGGGGTATGGGGGTGCAGTGCTTCAAGTGTTTAGGGGGCGTTTTGGGTTTGGGGATAAGGGGTTTAAGGTTAAGGGATTACGGATGCAGGGTCTCGGAGTTACGGGGTGTAGGGTTTTGGGGTTAAGTGGTTTATGGGTTTAGGGTGACGGGGTTCCGCGACGTAAGGTGTGGGGTTGAACGGCTTATGCAAGCGGCCAGCAAACATTTCGAGGCTTAAGGGTCTGGGGGTTAGGGCTTAGGGCTGAGGGGTTGCAAGGATTGAACGTCTTTTTTGAAAATATGGTACCCTGAATAGTAGGATCCGTATTATAAGGACCCCCAAAACAACGTACCCTTCATGGATGTTTTAAGCGCACTTGTGTTTTGATGAAAAGCACGTCGGCTGACTGTCGCTCCAGCAGAGTCAGTCGGGACGCGTACGGGAGTAAGGGGGAGGGAGTAGGGGACTATACTTCCTTAAATAGGCCTTATTAAGTTCTTATTATGGGCACCCCGCCCCAAAAACCCTAAACCCCAAACCCTAAACCCTAAACCCTAAACCCCAAACCCTAAACCCTAAACCCTAAACCCCAAACCCTAAACCCTCCCGTCCCCGCAACAGCCCTGAGCCGAGCTGGACCTGGGGGCGCCTCTCGGTGCGTGCAGCTCTTCCCATGGAAAAATTTGCTGTCTGGTGCTTGGTAGGGAATGTGGGAGTGGATCCCTTCAGTAGTCCCTATTTAGGGTTTAGGGTGTAGGGGTTAGGGTTATAGTCGTCCCTATATAGTCCCCAAGAATCTCCATAACCTATTCCCCCATTCCCTACTAAGAACCAGACAGTTTAGGCTTGGCAGGAGGGTCCGCCGCGAACATGCCTCCACACAGCTTACAGCCTCTTGCATCTTTGTCAGCTGTGACACGACCTTTGGAGCAAAAGCACGTCCTCCGGGTGAATCAAAACTGAATCGAAATCGAAATTGAAAAACTAACCTGCCAGGGATTCGACGTCTTCGTTGTAGCACACGTCTTCATAGGAACGAAACAGAAGAATTTACTTACCTGCTGGCCTGGACTTTCCAAGTACACAAGTCTATCGCGAGTCTTAGCCCAAAAGCCCTGAACCCTAGACCCTAAACCCTGAAGCGTGGCTCAGAAGAATCAGCCCCGGCGGCTGAGCATCGTGGTGAAGACATTCTCGAAGTAGAGTCGCGATGCCTTTCGCGGTGGCTCGAGTTTCAGTCAGGATCCCCATTTTAGTACGCATTAAGGGGACAAGGCCAGGGGGTGTATGATGTGGAGGGGGGGCAGGATGTTTGCGTTTCTGGCTTGGGGTTGAACCGAGCTGAAGATTCGGGCAGCACTCATCCCCTTGCCCCCGAATCACGACGAAGCCATATTCCGAGTATTGAGGTCCATAATCGCAAACCGCAGCGGCCTTAATAATTATCGGGTTATGAAGCTATGGAGTATACGTATACTACAGCATAGTTTTACGAAAGAACCCAGAGAAATATTGGTAGTTCTCCCCACCTCTGTATCAAGCACGACTTGGGATTCAGCGATTCGGGCTTCTGGCCTCCGGTTTCGGATAGGCTACGAACAAACGGCACTTCAAGTTTCGAAAAAAAACCCGAAAAACGACTCAAACATAGAGACGCTCCTACTAGAGTTGAGGGCTAGAATCGGATTTGGGCGTACACATTACCCTAAACCCTAAACCCTAGGTCGAATCCCAAATACGACTTGGGGAAGCTCCCCTACACGAGACCTAAACCCTGCATGCCTGGTACGTTACACTTGCCAATGTTGCAAGCACCAAAGGAGGGGGTACTTTAACCAATTCTCCAACCTCCAGCTACAAATATGTTATGGTACTAATTCTCCAAACTTACCTATACCTTACTATCCAGGCTTATACTTATACTCCATCGGATATTTAATACTCTTACTGAATATCCTGACTTGCAATCGCAGGACTTGTGCTTTAAGAGTTGGAGCTTCTATTCGGACTGGAACTCTGGTCCAGGGTTCACAGGCTCAAGGTTTCGAGGACTTCGGGGTTTGGGGGGTAGGGCTTTAGGGCTCGGGGATTTCGGGTTTAGGGGTTCCTTGAAAGGGGATTATAAGGGTTCCTTTAAAGGGCTCTATAAGGGCACCATAATGGTACTATCCTAGAATCCTGAGTCGCGCACGTCCATAATCGTCACATCCACATCATGTGATGGCGGCAGGTCGTTCAGGAAATCATTCACAGCCTTGGTGTAGGACGCGGTGCAGGATAGACTTTGCAGGCAGAGCTGGGCACGAAGATGCCGGCCAGACATAGACGCCAAAGGAGCATACACATCCTATGCTTGGGAACAGAAACTGCCAGTGCACAGAGCATGGCGTGAGATCGAAGCTGACCCCGCCCTGATTCGAAATTATCCTGGACCATGCTCTCAAACTCCGCCCGGAAGTTCAATACCGAAACTGACCTCGAAAGCCCTGAAACTCACAATCAACTTCCAGACAGACCGACCGATAGACATACCTGCGTACATCCGTCATACATACCTACATACCTGCCGGACTGAAACCCGTGCCTTAACTTGAGGCATCTGCCTTCACTCAGGGTTTCAGGGTTCTCTATGAAGCCCCATGCAGCTTCAGTGACTTGCGGATTCTCGCAACGTGACAAGGCTTACTTAAAGGATCATGGGACTTAGTAAGTAGGTTATAATTGGGGTTATACGTCTTCTTAGTGGGGTTATCCTAATTGAAACCTACTTGTAACCTTACTTACTAAGTCCCATGAGTCTGTAAGTAGCGGTCTTCCATCCCCGCCTGCAGCTGCGCTTTTCAACGTGGCTTTCAGGCACCCAGAAACTCTAATATCCCTTAATTAAGGAATATACTTTAGCTTATAGTAGGATCCGCCATATAATTTAAGGGATATTCCTTTATTGAAGGGATATCGGAGTCTCTGAGCAGAAGAGCGATGCTGCCGAGTTTCTTGGGTAAAAAGAATCGCAAACACATATTCCTGGGAAGAGAGGGGGGGGGGGTCATGGGACTTAGTAAGTATGGTTATAATTAAGGGGGCTCTTTAAAGGGATCTAGAGGGTTCCTTAAAGGGATCTATGGGGTTTAGGGTTTAGAAGTTCACATATTCCTGGGAAGAGGTAACTGGATCAAGTTGCAACTCGGCAAACGGGGGAAATTCTCTTGCAGGCTTCAAACTTGGCGGATACGTACGTTTCAACCCAGAGACTCCAAAACCCCTTAATTAAGGAATATACCTTAAATTATAGTAGGATCCCAAATATGATTTAAGGAATATTCCTCAACTAAGGGATATTGGAGTCTCTGGGAACGTTCTGGGTTCCTCTGTTTTGTGCTTCGGGGCAGAAGTCGCTAGGGATGAAGGGATATAGCTGGCAAGTCATACGGTGGATGATATAAATCCTGCATGACCCATAATAAGGAATATACCATAATTCCCGTAGCTTCGGGTCCTTAGCGTAATGCAGGACTTATATCATCAACCGCACGTCGGGCTTTAAGTGTGTTCCCTCGATGAAGGTACCGATGATCTCATATCCCATCTCAAGGCCCGCTTGTACGCGCCTGAACCTTGAACCGGGCTCAAGATTCACGAGTCTCTGGGGTTTTGAAAATCGCTTCAGGAAACAGGGGCCTGTGATCAAAAGCTTGTTGTTGAGGCTGAGGTTTTAGGCTTGGGGGTTTCTGTTGCAACCTTGGTGCTGACTGCCACAGCCGTGTGCACACGAAGCCCAGAGAGTTCTCGGTGATCCGTTTTGATGAACCGCTAGTGCTCTTTTTGCATTTACTCCGTCATGAGCCCGGAAGAGGCCTAGGGCCCATGTGGGTAGTTCTCGAAATTAGGGTCCCTTTTTAAGTCGCCAAAATACCATGGCACCCTCAGAAGAAGGACCCTGAAAGGGACCCTAACTTAGACTACCCACTGCTCGGATGGTTTCACTTCCAGCCGGCCCCAAGATCAGAGGGTTGCCTCGCCACAAGAAGTTCGTTTCTAGTTCTCACGTGCTGAAGCACACGTTAGAGGCCAGAAGTCCTTGGTAGGGCTAGGGCTTGGGGTTTTGGGATATACCTCTTTGCTTCATGTGAAAGCCAAGCCATGCGCGCTTCGCAGTGTCTCTGGACCGGAAGTCTGAATCCCTAACCCAGGGCCCTAAACCCCTGGTCCTAAACCCTAAACCCCAACATAGGGGCCTTAATAATCAGAATAGTGTTTCGGAGCCATTATACTATTGTTTAAAAATAAAGGCACCCCCACAACAGTATAAGTAATTATTACGGCCGCCCGAGAGTAAACCCCAACTCCGGAGGACTGGAAGCCACCCTCAAACCCAAACACTCATTGGGTTTAGGGTTTAGGGTCTGGGGTCATAAATAACCCTATACCCCAAACCCTAAACCCTAAACCCGTCATTCCTGTCTCGCGAGAAAGCCTGAAAACCAAGCCCGCCGGGTCTCTATGAGAAGAATCAGCACCAGCGCCCAAAGCAGTGACTTTAAGGTGCCAAAGATCGACGTGACCTGCTTGGAGGGGCAGGGGACTTAGTAAGGGTTCTTAAAGGGCTCCTTAAAGGGATCCAGGGATCTATGGGGTTTAGGGTTTTAAGGTCTACTTGGAGGGGCAGGGGACTTAGTAAGTAGGCTAAGTACCCTAAATGGAGTTACCCCAATTATAACCCTGCTTATAATCGACTTACTAAGTCCCCTGCCCCTCCAAGTGCGGCTTGGGGCTTTTGGGGCTTTAGGGTTCAGGATAAGGCGCCGTGTTTGAAGCCGGGGTGGGTTTAGGGTTTTGGGATTTGGGTTCGGGGTTCAGGGCTTAGGAAGTAGGAGCGTCTAAGCACGAAGGTCCTGTTCCAGATGAAAGCTTCCAAAAAGAAGGTGCCCAAATGAAGATTTGTTTAGGGTTTGAGGCTTTGGGGTTTAAGGGTTCAGGGTTTTAGGGCTTTAGGGTTCAGGGCTTTAGGGTTCGAGGTTTAGGATAGTAGCGCAGGAAACTCAGTCATCACTCGGACCCCTAGATGGGGGTTTCCGAAAATAGGGGACCCTAATATAGTACCCTACTATTTAGGATCCTTACTATAAACGCCCCCCAAATAAGGTACCCCTAATTTTCGGAAACTCCCAGATAGAACAACTCAGTTTTCTGACACCCCCATATGCGTGTTCAGCGGAGGGCTCCAGGACTTCATAGGGCTTTAGGGTTTAGGGTTTAGGGCTCAGAGTTTAGGGTTTAAGGGCTTAGGTTTAGGGTTTAGGGTTTAAAACAATAACAACAAGAATCCCATGGACATCAGCAGCAGCAGTAGCAGCAACCGCAACGATCAGATTAATTATCTGCATAAAGGTACCACTCTTAGGGTCCATCCTTGGGGTCGTCTCGTCTCTGGGACTCTTCTCGGCTCCATACAGCCTTAAGCTCGGATATGGTATGCCACTCTTGCAAGCACCCTCTGGGGTTAGGGAACGCACTTTCCAGGGCCGAGGCCTTACTAGAACTTTTCGAAAAGGGGGCTCGGATGTATGCTGAAGGGTTCTGTATGGGAGATAGAGTGTTACCGGATTCTGAAAGACCATTCCTCCTTGCAGGACTTCGCGTGTCTTTTGGATGTCGGGTATTTACACCAGATCGGGATAGACTGTGAACCTAAGCTGTCTCTCCATGTCGTATCCTTCATATCCTCCTCACTTGATACCAACCCTAAACCCTAAACCACGCTCCGTTGATTGGATGTCCGAACCTCCACTCAACTCTGCGGTCGGCGCAGGACATCACACAGCTTTGCCAAAGCATCTCCGCAGCGGAGGTCGCTCCACTGCCACAGGATTTAGGGTTCAGGGTTGAAGGTTTTGGGTTTAGGGTTTAGGGTTTATGGCAACCTCAAAACCAAAAATCCCGAAACCCCAAATCCTGAAGAACACGGCAACCCTGAAGCCCTAAATCCTGATGGCACTTTCGCAGCGAAGGCACCCGGCGATGGACCCTACATAATACGATCTTTATCCCGTGCACCCCCAAATTGCAACTCGGCACACAATGCTCCCATAATCCCGTACAGTCCCGTTTCTAAACCGCACCAACGCTCGTCAAGAGTTAGACGTAAGTACCAATCCCTCAAACGCTGCCCCCAAACTCTAGACCCTGAACCCTAGAAACCTCAACTCTACCTCCAAAACGCTCAACCCTCAACCCTAACCTGACTTAGGCAGGCACCAATGTGCGAAGAGCCACCACGAACCGCAGAATGCGGACGACCTGGGCCAAATTTCATGCAGACCTGAATAGTGATGGGTTTCGGGTGCTTGGGTTGGGAATTTAAGGTTTAGGGTTTTTGAGTTGGGCATTTAGGGTTTAGGGTTTGGTTTGGGGTCTGCTTGATGATTTTGGGCTGCAAACGACCCCGGATTAATGAAACACCTGCCTGGAAAAGGGCTGATTACAGGGATCCGTGTATTCAGGGACTAAAGAAAGAGTGTTCATTCATCCGGTGTCTTACATAGGAACACCAGTACTATTAAAAATAATATTCAGTATACTAATAATACCAATAATGCGAAAAACTAAAATAATCATCATCATCATCATAATGATCGGTTGTGAGGCTTCCGGTTTTTGGGGTCGGCACCTGCACGGTCTTCAAGATCCGGGTGATGCGGATGATCCGAAAGGCCTCCAACAGTCAACTCGCGTCCGGTCTCGGGTTGAGGGTTTTATAGGACCTTAATACTTGGGCTCCTTTCAGGGATTCCTTTTAAATTAAAGGAGTCTATAAGGATTACATACTGTAAGGGTATTATAAGGGTTTAAGATAGGGGCCTTAAACAATTCCCTATACTATGTTGGGGGATTCCATGTTATAACTAAGTATACTGGGCTCAAAACCCTTTTCTAATTATTAAGGCCATTATAAAAGGGTTTCGGGTTTAGTGGTTTAGGTTCGGTTCGGGTTCGGTGTTTTTGGCGATTGCTTGGGGAATGCCTTTCTTGGGTTGGGGTTTGCAGTAGGTATTTGGGACTTGGTGAGTATGTTCAGTTTGGCTCATACTTATAATTGCTTATAACCCCAATTAAGGTACTTATAACCTTACTTACTCACTACGTCCCATGACCCTCCGAGTACACCCAAGCCTGTCATCCCCAAGGTCAGAAGAGGCCTTGAGGCTGGAAATGCCCGCGATGGTTCCAAGCTCCGTCTCCTTCAGTGTGGTGTCTACTTAAAGGATCATGGGACTTAGTAAGTAGGTTATAATTGGGGTTATAAGTCCCCTAAGTGGGGTTATCCTAATTATAACCTACTTATAACCTTACTTACTAAGTCCCATGATCCTCCAAGTAGGGGTTTAGGGTTTAGGGCCCATAAATATTTTTTCAGTGCATCGGACCTTCTCGAGGTCCAGAAGTATAGGATCCAGGGTTTCGGTGGTTTAGTGGGTTTACGGTGCGTTTGGGTGCGTTGGGCCAGTTGGGGTGCTGTGCCGTGCTTTAGGGTGGCTTGAGGTTGTGTAGGAGGCGTTGATACTTGGGCAAGCGTAAGGCCCGAGCGAACCCACCAAACAGTGTGGCAAGACTTTTTTCTTTGTCTTTCTGAAAGAATACCTCGAAAAAGATAGAGGGAGGTCTAGCCCTTCTTTAAGAATACCTCAAAAAGATAGAGGGAGGTATAGCCCTTCTTTAAGAATACCTCAAAAAGATAGAGGGAGGTCTAGCCCTTCTTTAAGAATACCTCAAAAAGATAGAGGGAGGTATAGCCCTTCTTTAAGAATACCTCAAAAAGATAGAGGGAGGTCTAGCCCTTCTTTAAGAATACCTCAAAAAGATAGAGGGAGGTATAGCCCTTCTTTAAGAGGTTTTGGAGTCTCTGGGTGTACTCGGCAGGAACCTCGTAAAGTGAAGCACTCCGGGCTTTGGGTGCAGGGTCTCGAAGCTTCCCCGGTGCAGGACCTGAGGGTCTAAGATGATGGGTTTAGGGTTCAGGGTTTAGGGCTTAGGATTTATATAGGGTTGAGGATGTAGGGTTTAGGGCTTACGGTTTAGGGCTTAGGATTTAGGGTTGAGGATGTAGGGTTTAGGGTTTAGGGCTTAAAATCCGAGACGGGCCTCTTTGCACTGTCTCGAAATCCGGCCGTTCCGAGAGGTTTTGGAATGTGGCGACAATCGAAATCATAACAAGTAGGTTGCAAAGTTCTAAAGAAAAAGCACAGCAAAGTACGGAAGCGGAGGATCCAAACGTCCCCCAGACCTAAACGTCCTGGGTCCTAAGTCCTACGCCTCAAAACGCATTTCGGGTCTGGACCTCGGTCCTGAGGATGCTTCTCTACCCCACCACCGAGCCTTCATCCCGACAAGACCACAACACCCGGTTGGGGGCTTGGGATTTAGGGTTTTGTTTTGGGGTTTAGGGTTTAAGGTTTAGGGTTAAGGGCTGCTCCTGCCCGGGAGGCATAGCATCTTGCGCATGTTGCACGATGATCTCCCAGATGGAGCTCACCTTTCACAGCTTCAGTGCATTTGCAGATGTTCCGGGCTCCCAACATCCGAAGCGTTTATGAAGTTTAGGGCTCAGGGCTTTAGGGGTTTAGGGCTTTAGGGGTTTAGGGGTTAAGGGGTTTAGGGGTTTAGGGGTTTGGGGTTTGGAGTCGAAGCTTGAAGGTGGGAGTTTTCAGGTTTCTGGCCCCAATATTGCCACGGAGAAAGCAGCCTATGGCCCAAACGAATCAAGCAGCCTAAACCCCGAAACACAAAACCCCAAACCCAATAATTAAATTTTAATTCGAAACCGAGATCCTGAAAACACCACCCCTTAACATCCAAAACCTCAATACCAAATCAAGCAGGCCGCCACAATTATCAGATCCAGCAGCGCCCAGGTCCAATCCTCCGGCGTTTAAAGTTTCGGGTTTATGGTTAGGTTTAGGCTTCGGGTCGCGATGGCTTAAGGTCTCGATGGTTTGGGGTTTACGGTCGCGAGGGTTTAGGGACTCAAGTTGAAGCACTTACGGCCTAGAGCTTGGGGATTCAAGCGGTCCTGTTTTCAATGAACGATTCCAGAAGACGAAATACGCGTATGATCTGCAAGCCTGCCATTAGCTTATGGAACAGTATCTTGTAACATATATTGTGGTCTATGTTATGCTTTGTTATGGAATATGGTAGTATACTGTAGTATATTACTGTATACTATATCATACTATACTATAACGGTTTGTTTTGACGGTTTAAGGTATAAAGCAGCGTGTTTAAACTACAAAATCTTGGCATTCTACAGCATAGTCTAGCTGCAAGGCATCAGACTTTGGCACAAGTCTTCCGGGCTCAAAGACCACGGCTCCTCACCTTTGAGCGCTGACGGCTCAAGAGCTGCCAAGTGGGGATTGAATTCAGGGGGAGCAGGGGTTCCGTGTTTAGTGGTTTCAGGGGTTAGATGATTAAAAATTTAGTGTTTAGGGGTTAAGGGTTTCGGGGTTTAGATTTTCAAAATTTCGTGTTTAGGAGTTAAGGGTTTCGGGGTTTAGATTTTCAAAATTCCGTGTTTAGGGGTTAAGGGTTTCGGGGTTTAGATTTTCAAAATTTCGTGTTTAGGGGTTAAGGGTTTCGGGGTTTAGATTTTCAAAATTTCGTGTTTAGGGGTTAAGGGCTTCGGGGTTTAGATTTTCAAAATTTCATATTTAGGGTTAAGGGTTTCGGGGATTAGATTTTCAAAATTTCGTGTTTAGGGGTTAAGGGTTTCGGGGTTTAGATTTTCAAAATTTCGTGTTTAGGGTTAAGGGTTTCGGGGATTAGATTTTCAAAATTTCGTGTTTAGGGGTTAAGGGCTTCGGGGTTTAGATTTTCAAAATTTCGTGTTTAGGAGTTAAGGGTTTCGGGGTTTAGATTTTCAAAATTCCGTGTTTAGGGGTTAAGGGTTTCGGGGTTTAGATTTTCAAAATTTCGTGTTTAGGGGATAAGGGTTTCGGGGTTTAGATTTTCAAAATTTCGTGTTTAGGGGTTAAGGGTTTCGGGGTTTAGGGTTTTAATGGGTTTCTGGTTTAGAGGTTCAGGGTTTCGGGGCTTGATTGAAAACGTCTACAGCCTCAGCTCAGGATGTTGGATTCGCAGGGTCACGGAACCCGACATCGGTAGCGTGGTATCTGAAGTCCACTGCACTGCAATTGCTTCATGCGATAGAGCAGAGTGAAACAGGAATCAAGCCGAAACCCCGAACCCGAATAATGCCAGCACACTGATACAAAAACCCTTGTATAACCCGCAGAAAGCCCCTTCATCTAAAGCATAACCTATATACATATATACAGATGTATACAACGCGAACAAATGTGTATACTGTGTGTGTTGTGTGTGTACATATATATATATATACAGATGCAGAAACCTTGCAACATCCTCAGATAACCTCTACAGATATTCTGTGTACATGCCCCAAGCCCTCAAACCAACACCTCAAAAATGTTGGGGCTCTCGACCGTCCTCTGAGCAAAAGAATCGTAGGCCGTCAGTCATGACTCGCAGAAGCAGTTCCACAGTGAAGAGGATAGTGAAGACATACCTTTCCCACGGTTTAGGGTTCAGGGTGAGGGTTTCGGGTTTCAAGCGTTTCGGGTTTGGAGTTTAGGGTTTCGGGGTTTAGGGCTCGGAGCTTAAGCCCAGTTCAAAGTCTAGGGTTTGGGGTTTAGGCTTTGGGTGGGCTGTAGGGTTTAGGGCTGTAAGGTCATTTTAAGGTGTGCGGTTTCGCTTGGACGCTAGAATTTACATGTCGCTCTGGAGGGAAGGGTTTGGATTTTGATGCCTGGAACCCACTTTTTGAGGGTGTGCGGAGTTTGTGAATGAGGACCCGATGAACCGGAAGATTACAGACTCATGATGTAAGGACCTTAACAGTTAGAATAAGGGTTTTGGGCGCCCATTACACTATAATTGATAAGAAACCCCGCAATGGTATAGGCAAATAACGAGATCCCCATATTAGGGTTCCCTAAACCGTGCACCCCGAGCCTTGTGCCATGCACCAGAAACTTTAAACAGTAAATGCTTACTTCATGGCTGACATTTCTTGGGCGCCTGGAGCCCGTCGGACCCTAAGCGTCCGGGCGAAGCCATAGAATCTAGGGCTTCGATGCAATGAACCCCAAGAGCCCCAACCATGCAGAGCAAAAAACATCATTACCCGCATCATTATGATGATCATCGTCGTCGCCGTTTGTCGACGTTGTCGTCATTTTTCTCCTATCTGCTGTCATCGTTGCCGTCGTCACCGCCACCACTGTCACCTCCACCACCAACACCACCACCAACACCACCACCAACATCATCACCACCATCATCACCACCATCATCACCACCATCACCACCACCGGCGGAAGAAACAGCAGAAGCGGTAGGAGCAGCGGGCGAGCCACCAACACAACCACTACAGCAACAACATCATCATCAACAACATCAACCATCGTATGCACAATACACCAACTTCCTCGTGATCACGAATATTCGCAGTATCAACACGCCGGCTCCATCACTATCATCATCAGCATCATGATCTCCGTTCACCACCAGCATCTGCATCGGCAGCAGCAAGGAGAACGAGCAACATGAGTCGCAAACAATCTTAATCACAAGCATGAGATCCCCGCTGTTTAATCCCAAATCAGAGAACGAGAGTTCTGGCAGTTGAATTGGAAATGCCCCAAAGCATTGAAACAGCAAAAACCAAATTAAACTTTAAACCCATAGCCGCACAAGCACACCGAAACCCAAGGACAACCTCCGCTCAGTTGTGTCGAAGATTCCAAATGTCGAAGATTACAAATGACTGCTTTCACTTTAGGGCTCAGCAATATTTACCGAGGGGTTTTAGTGTCCTAGATGGGAGTTTCCGAAAATAGGGGACCCTAATATGGCACCCTAGATTCTTATTATAGGGACCCCAAATAAGGTACCCCTGATTTTCGGAAACTCCCAGACGAGCTCGTGATTCAGCTTAGGGGGTCAACATTTTGAAAGGGTCTCGGGATTCCTAAGGAATGAGTGCGCTCTAAGCCTGCGGTGGGCCTTTTGAATGTGTTTTGGGTTCGATTTTCTGGCCTCGGTAGTTTTGCTTGTTTCAGGTTGTGGGGGCTGAGGGTTCAGGGCTTAGAGTTTAGGGGGTTCGACCCAAGGCGCTGGACCACAAACATCCAGGTCGGACGAGGTTCGTCCGTGCCAGATATTGAATGCTCTACCTTCGACAGTCAACACTTTCATGCTTCAGGTGTATGGCTCTACTTGAAGGGTCATGAGTCTTAGTAACTAACGTTAATCTGTGGGTAACTATACTTGTTTTCAACTTTCACCTAACCCCAATTAAGGTACTTATAACCCTACTTACTAAGTCCCATGACCCTCCAAGCAGGCACAAACCCTTCAACCTCCAGCCCCTGACCCTAAACCCTGAAACCCACCTGGGTGGTTGTCAAAATTAAGGTCCCTTCTTGGGAACCCTAAGTAATAGGTGCCGTATGATAACCGGGACCCAAAAAGGACTATAATTTTGACAACCACCCACCTACTGTGGATGGACAATATCCTGCATGACCCAATGCAATCAATATAGCATAATTCCCGTAGTTTAGGGTCCTTAAGGTCATGCAGGATTTTGTCCCTAAACCCTGAAACCCTAAACCCCTAAAGCCCCTAAACCCTAAACCCCTAAACCCTAAACCCCTTAACCCTAAACCCTAAACCCTATCACAGCTTGAATGGGTGACTTCCCCTGGCCCCTCGAAGTCGGCCGTAAAACTGCCCGAAGACTCAGCCCAGCGGGTCAATTCTTACCTTTGGTTAGTAGGGAACGGGTTCCTTTAAGGGATCTATAGGGTTCAGGGTTCCTTTAAGGGATGTATAAGGCTTAGGGTTTATAAGGTATAGGGGCCTTAATAGTTACCTTTTACTATTTTGGGGGGTTCCTTGTCTTACCTTTGGTTAGTAGGGAATGGAAGCATGGTAGTAATAGTAGCTGTACTTGTACCCCATTCCTCCATTCCCTACTAACCAAAGGTAGGAAGTGCCGAACGGCGCAAAGCAACATTGCTTGGAGGCTCGGGGTAATATAGGGGCCTTAATAGTTAGAATAGGGTTTTGGGGCCCATGATGATATACTTATAATAAGGAACCCCCACAATAATATTGGTAATTATTTAGGCCCATATATTACCTTGTGAGTAAGTTATCACAGGGATTCTCGTTCTGTGGGTCTCATCAGTATCACGTTCGTCGTCAGAATGATATCCTCAAAATGAGAGCCAGACAACGCATGTACAACAAAAACAAGCATTCTATCGTCGCCACCAGGACCTGTTGCAATCATCATAGCCGGCGCTACTCACAATAAGCAACTGCCATGCCTCGAGGCCGATGTAAACGGAGTTGGCCAGCACCACCAATGCATAGAAGCTGTCGAAGATGGGATGGCGAACGAGGTCGATGATGAATTGGCCTCCGTGGCTCCAAGCCGTATCCCTTAGAAGGGGCCCCCACCATAGGAATATAATAGGGCCCTAATATAGTCCTTATAGTCACTATTACAGGGTGGGGGCCCCTTCTAACGCATCCCCCCACAAGCTCGAAAAATCTCGAGTTCTGCAATGAAACCCGGTTCCCAAAGCCCTCGAAGCCTCGACCCTCTCGGCACCGGCATCTTTTATGGAGGGCCGCTTGCGGCAGGGGGGTTCCCAATAGCAAGGACAGGGTTTTTGGGGGTATATTATACTATGCTTATAGAATAAGGAACTCCCAAAATACTTGGCTCTGCGAACCCGGTGACAGCTCAGGCTACTTAGCCGAGGCCACAGCTACAACTACACCTACTCCTACTGCTACTCCTACTGCTAGTGCTACTGCTTCTGCTACTGCTGCTGCTGCTGCTGCTGCTGCTGCTGCTACTACTACTACTACTACTACCACTACTACTACTACTACTACTACTACTACTACTACTACTACTACTACTACTACGACTCCTGCAGAACACGTTCACAACACCTTACTTTTGCGTATACCGCCTTTTCTATGCACATTACTAACCGCACGCAGACTGTTCGTTCTTCTTGCTCATGCCATCTTGGAATGCCCAGTCCGACTCACCGTGCTTTCTCTCGGTTGTCATGTACACGTGTAATATTCTGGTAGGTAGCTACGGTGTCAACACGCTCACGATGAAGGTTGCGATTGTGAGCTCAATTATTCGGGACATTTACAAATACAACGACTCTTTCTCTGGCTGTGACCATGTTTCATGTACCCCCTGTCTGCTGCGGTCGTCCGGCTCACGACCACTGTACTGCTAGTTTCAAAACGTTGAGGTTTTGCTTTTCTTGAATTTTCGCCCGTGTGGCTCTGCAAGGCCAAAACCCCAGAGCAACGAACCCTGCAAGAGCCTGTCTGCTGCTTGGCCCGCGAGATGCGTATGCTGGCGAAGCGCTTGCGGGAATGAATGCCATCAACGCTCGCCTGGGGGGCTTGAAGGTTGAGTGTCTTGGCGTCTTCGGGTTTAAGATTTAGGGCTTTAGGTATATACGGTATATAGAACAAATTCAGAAAAAGTATTGAGAGTTGGGAGGGTTTCATGATAAAGAAAAACATTCGCACATCATCACTGCGAACACTACTCGCCAAACTTCACCACCAGTACTTTACCATCATTGACATCATGACACCATCGTAATCGTCGTCATCACCATCATCACAAACGCGCCGTCATCCTGATCGTCACCATCACCATCATCATTACGATCATTGTCATGAACCAGTATCACCATTGAAAACCACAACAACGTCATCACAATCATCATCAGCATGACCGTCCACAACGACCATGCCGATGCTGATGACTATCGGTACTACAAGCGTGGTTGTGACGAGGATGTTGGTGATGACGATGACGAAGACTACCAGCAGGAGGCCCAACCCTAAACCCTAAACCCTAAGGTTTGCGTGCAGAGGATGGAGTGACGACGATGACTGAGTCGAGGTCAAGATCACGATGACAACGGCGAAGGCCGTGATGACGATGATGATGATAGTGATGATGATGATAGTGATGATGATGATGAGACTTTGGGCTGAAAAGTGCGATCAAGAGCGTCCTTCTTTTCAGCTGGAGCCGACTGAACTTTACCCTCTTGTCCATGTATGAACTTACTTATCGGTATGCTTGATTCCTGCAGGAACTGCTTGGAAACTGATGCAATTGAGGTTTGGAGGTGGAGGCATTCATGGTGGCAGATGGTCAAGCGGTCAAGATTGAATGCGACTAAGTTGACAAGTGCGGAGTAAGAACTTTCAGTCCTGTGTCCCTGATGCGCGGGACTTGCACCACTGCCCTGCAGCAACGAAATCAGAACTGCTTCCGCTGGCGTCTATGGGAACGGATATTCACTGACCTGAATGCGGCTGCGATATTGACGACGACATGACTGAAATTTCCCTGTCTGCCGCTGAGTCTATTAACCCCTGCAAACCCCTATAACCCCTATAGACACCGATTGACCCTAAAGCCTAAAGCCTGTCTCGGCCTGAACCCTAAACCTTAAACCCCAAACCCTTTGAAAGAGAAGCCGGGCGGCAGCAGCATCCTGGGCCTAGCACGCCAAAGACTGGGTGTTCGGGTGGATGCTGGAAAGAGTTTGTTTTTTTGTTCGCCTTTTTGATGGTTTAAGTTTCGGAAAAGGTTTTGGGATTTAGGATTTTGGGGTTAGGGTTTAGGGAGAAACCCAAACAGTCCGAAAACTCTACCCGTGCACCTGAAACGTAGCTTTGCGCACCGGTCAAGCACAAGGCAAAGTGCCTTGGCCTTATTCCAAGCCTTGAAACAGCGCAAGATCAAGGGATTCTTCTAAACTGAGCTTGCTAAGGGTAGGCGTACACCAATCAGTCGAAGTAGTTTAAAATACACCGGGATCAAGAGGAAGCTGTTTCGGGCAAGCCCATCTGACGCCCATGAACCCCACAGCCTGAGCCTTGATGAACCGAATAGGCTGTTGGGGCAAATTTTACCGTAGTCACACCAGCGACTACGACGCAAAACCAGGACCAAGCATTCCAAACGCGACACAAGACCCTCCCCCAGACCTTACGTAAAGCGCGACACGGAATGGAAAGCCCTAAATCAGAACCCGAAGACCCTAAAACACAAAACGAGAACCTTGAATGGAAAAAACCACATCTCTAAAACTATACACAGATAAAGCCCTGGGCCCGCGAGACGTGTGGCTCGGACGCTAAGAGCCTTGAGGTCGCAGCCACTGCCGTTGGGTTTGGGGGAGTACTTAAGGGATCATGGGACTTGGTAAGTAAGGTTCCTCAAAGGGTTCCCTTAATTGGGGTTCCTTGAAGGGATCTATAGGGTCTAGGGTTTAGGGTCTACTTCGAGGATCATGGGACTTAGTAAATAAGGTTATAGGCACCTGAATTGGGGTTATAAGTACTTGTAAGTATAGTTACCTTATTTGTAACCCCAGTTACTAAGTCCCATGATCCTTTAAGTACGGATTTGGGATTCGAGGCCTTGAGGCATTCAGGATTGAAGGTTTAGGCTTTGGGGCCACTGAACCCAAAACCCTTGAACCCCCGCACTCCCAGGGCCCTGAACCCCAAACCGGTCAACACTGGAGGGTGTTCAAAGGGATATTGGGGCCCTCAAAGTAACCCTTATGGAACCCTGACAGGAACCCTTGAAGGAACCCTCCTCTAACTACGAAAGAAATCTCTGTCGCCTGCAGGTTGTGGGCCGTGAAGGTGGTGAAGAGCTTAGGCGCCTGCTGCGGGAAACGGCTTAGGTTTAGCGTTTAGTGTAGGCTTCTGGTCGGGTAAGAAAGGCATGAGAACATCTGGCTTGTCCAGGTCGCGCCACAGTCGCACCATGCTTGAGAAGGATGTAAAGTGTAAAGTACCACCCTAAACCCTAAACCCTAAACCCTAAACCCTAAACCCTAAACCCTAAACCCTAAACCCTAAACCCTAAACCCTAAACCCTAAACCCTAAACCCTAAACCCTAAACCCTAAACCCTAAACCCAATAACCAGGGTCCTCATGCAGCAGACCCGACACATACGATCATTATCAGCCTTTGCCAGCGGGCCTGACAGCTGCTAGGAACATCTAGGCGACGTCGGAGCAAAACTGTGGGCTGTCCTTTTAGGGGCTCCAAAAAAGCACATAAGCAAAAATTAGGATAGGGATATCCCATATAAATCCCCTTATAATAAAGCCCAGTAAGGTAGGGATGTCCCCATGAAATGCTTATGCTTATGTGCTTTTTGGGTCCCGAACCTTTGCCACCCGGCCCACCTGGAAGGATAATCTCGGGCGCAGCGGCGGCGCAGCCGGAGACGACTTTGACTTTGACACCTTCGCAAGCACCGGTCAGAACCGGCAAGCTTAAACCCTAAAGCTAAACCTCAAACCCTACTGCAACAGACACAGACACGCACAGAAACGACAGGCTACACAATATGCTATGCTTGGCAATAAGTAACATCAGCAAATAATCTGCATATAAGGGCACTGAAACAACCCCAAGCAGACACCAACCTTACATTCCAAAAGCTATAGCCTGCTGATCCCAATCCCCAAGCCAAGCATGTCATTCAGACACCCAAACAGGTAGCAAAGCTATGACCTAACGTTGCCGAATACGATTGTTGTATAAACACTCCCAAAACCCAAGTCGAATTATTCAGGCTTCTGCCTTAAACCGTCCTCAACAGAAACTGCGAAAAACTATACCATGTAGTATTTGAGGTTACATCTCACCACATTATAACAAAGATCTCCAAGGAACGATATTAGAAAGTATCAGGCCCCCCATATTATATGCTAAACCCTAAACCCTGAAACCCAAAGAAAAGCTTTGAAGACAGGCCTTGCTGGAGTGGTCGGACAGCATCGAGGGGCGATCGGAGCCTTTCGCCTCCGCTGACTCCCATTATAGGGTTTAGGGTGTAGGGCTTAGGGTTTAAGAGCTTAAAAGGATACCTCAAAGTATCCTATAGGGTTCCATAATCAGGTCCGATTTCAGGGCTCCATCGTTTTTCTTGGGGTTCGATCAGAGTTACTATAAGGGTGAAGTAGTAAGCGATCCCAGGACAAGTAAAGCTTTTGTCTATGCTTGTTCGGCTAAACCACAACATTGCTTGCCAGCTTCCTAAAACGCTCTTTCCAGAAACCCCATAGATCCCTTTGAGGAACCCTTTAGATCCCTTTAAGGAGCCCTTTAAGAGCCCTTACTAAGTCCCCTAAACCCTACCAAACCCTCCCAAGTCTAAGAGCCAAGAACGACGGGAAGTCGAGAACTGCCACGTGGATACCGACCTTAATTCGCACAAGCTTTACAAAAATTCAACTTCAAGAGAAACCCTACACCCTAAAACCCTAAACCCCCAAACCCCCAAAGCCTAAACCCCTAAACCCTGAAACCACCCAGAAAGCCCCAAAAAGAGTCGACAACCGGCCTCGTTGCTCTCTTGGCTGGCCTGGACCACTCCGATGCTAAAAAAGGTGGAAGCTTCAGCACTCAGGGCTCTACAGCTTTTGTGTTTTGGTCCTAAGGGTTTGGGGATGTGTTTTTTGAACTCCTTTTTACGTCTGCCCGATCCTCCCAAGCTGACATAAGGTTTAGGGATGTTTAGGGTTTTAGGTTTAGCGGTTAAGGCTGCAGAGCTTTGGATTTCATGTTTTTTCGGGTCGGGGTTTTTGGATTTGAACTTGGCTTTCGGGGTTTGGGGTTTCGGGCGTTGGGGCGTCAATAAATGGCATAAACGGCCCAATGCCGAAAACCCCGCTATGCAGGGCCCTAAACCGAAAACTCGTATGCTGAGAGCACCAACAACCTCTCTACGCAAAGGAGGCTATGGGTGCTCTCGCGACTGCTAAGAGCAAGGCAGACCCCTACTTCGTTTTTCCCTTGGCTTTACCGTGTCAGTGAGCTTCTTTGAAAGAAAAGGAGGTAAATAGTGAACTACAACTGACAACCTCCGTAAAATTCCATGCCGACATACTAGAGGCGCCTCAATGACAGCAAAAGCAGGTTTTGGGTTAAATTTACTATAGCTAGGACAGCGAGCACTAAGCAATAGTATTCATAATTCTTGAGGGCCCTATTTTTCCCGCACGTCTGGGTCGCCCAAGAGACGTGCAACCTCGGCATCCGCCAAGCCGTCTCTTCTACTCACCACTGCAACTGGAAGTTGCACAAGGTCTCCACTGTGGCTGCTCGTTGTGCGACAGGACACTCGGGCGAGTGATCCTCAGCAGCCATGATTTGCCCCAACGGCGAAAGCTCCGTTTGCACCCAATCGAAGCGCCTTGAGCCGTTGCGCAAACGGCAGGCGGTGCAGGACGGCCCTCACTGCGATCCGCACGCTCACAGCGATGAATAAAAAGGCCCTAAATCCTGAACCGCTACTACTCAGGGGAAGAAATAGCAATACTCATCATCATGGCCACAGCGAGACGGCAAATGAAGCAGCAAGCGACACGATGCTGATGCTGCTGCTGGTACTTGTGGCGATGACAGCGACGATGATGACAATGATGATGTTGATGGGGATGCAAAATCCCAATCACGATGATAATGACTGATGATGATGACGATGATGATGATGATGATCCCTGAACCCTGAACGCGAAACCCTAAACCCTAAACCAACGTAGGAAGACCCGGAAGTTGACAGGCCTGGCTGCTCCGCGGACGGGCCTTCCATGGACGCGAACCCAAACCACAGCCATAAAATTAAAAAAAAAAAAAAAAAAAACGCATAGCCGCATGAAAGCACTATGGAGCCCTATGAAACGAGGTCTCGATTTAAGAAGCCTTGCAAGAAGGCTCAGGCTTGGTTTGCAACAGTTTTGGAGCAACTTTGAGAGGCCTGAGGCTTGGGTTGCATTGTTTTCTCTTGAGGCCTCAAGCTTGGTCCTGAAGAATTCTTTCTTTTAATTGTTTTTGAGGGCCCTTTTCCTCCCTGCTACAGTCCTGAAGAGTTCAGGATTTAGGAGTTGTTTTGAGGGGTTTCGATCGTCTCCTGGAGACTTTACTACTACTGTGCTACTTAACGGACCATGGGACTTAGTAACTGGACCATAAATAAGGTAACTATAGTTATAACTGCTTATAACCCCAATTAGAGTACTTATAACTTTACTTACGAAGATAAGCTTACTTGCTAAGTCCCATGATCCTCCAAGTAGTCCTCGACACTACTAGTGTGTTACTACCGTATCAACCGTATCGGGCGGGGCGGGGGCACTCTCTTCAGGGCGCCGGGAAAATGTTTGGGGGCGGTGGGGTTCCCCCAAAAAAACACAGTGCAACATTAATTCATGGAGATTTGGTTTTGAAACAAATAGCGGCAGCTGTGATAAAGACCACTTATGACGACAGCGATGAGTATTTTGGTAGCTCGCGACTGATGCATGAAAACATGCATCATCAACAGACGTGAATACAAAGTGATTCCCGTAGCTGAGGGTACTTGTCGTAATGCAGGGTTTTGACCGCCGTAGCACTAGCTCCACGACTTTTGGCGGGCGCTCTTCAACATGCCATGTGCTGAAAAAAACCTGCTCCTGATCAAAGGAGTAGGGGGGGCGGAGCTAGTGTCATTCTCACGGACAGGCTTTTGGGAAGACCCGTCCATGCAAACTAGACCCACTATCAAGCGGAACCCAGATCTTGGCCGCTTTGGCAACGAATACGTTGAACACGCACCAGCCACCACACTCCTCACACAAGCAGCCCAAAATGTCACCCAACTCCAGCAGAAACAACAAAGGCCAGCATCACCGGCAGCAGCAGCAGCAACAGCAGAAGAAAGGCTAGACAAAAGCAAAAAGGACGGATGGCAGCCGCCAACGACCAGCCAGGACAATACGAAAAAACAAGATGCTGCTTGCCGTCGAACATCACGAACAGAAACAATAAAAGGTTACTTAAGCACATCAAGAGGCAACATGCTCGCAACTGCCAACCACGAGAATGACAGCAACGACCAATACCCTGATTGTGCTCATCCTTGTCACCGACATCTCCATTAATATCGCGATCATGACCATCATCATCAGCACCACCCCTGTCACTGTTATACCAATCCACACTCACCATCGCTGCTATCTTGGACATCTTCAGAAGCACAAAACCACAAGCACATCTCAGACCCTCCACGTCTAGCCTTCTCGCCGGTGCCGGTGCGTGGCGCCGTCGGTGGCGCTTTGGAAGTTCCCAAACTTCCTAGGCATCTCAGGAACTATCGTAGAACTCCCTAAGCGACGTCGAGATGCTGCCCATCATAGCTTTAAGTTTGCTGAGCTCTAGGGCCCTAGGGCTCCAGCTCTGCAGCACAGGGTGGGGGGCTGAAGGGCTGCAGACTTTAGATCATCCCTCATTACTAGTCTAATCTTGGTCATTAGTTATCAGACTCGCGATTGGTACTATTCGTTGTTATAATGGTCTTCGTATGGAACACGCTTGCAGTTCTTTTAGTGATAGCAATGAAGGTAGTTGCACTGGTATCACCTAAACTGCCTGGTTCTTAGTAGGAAATGGGGGATGGATCCCTACAGTAGTCCCTGAATGATCCCCAATGATAGTCTCCATAATCCATCCCCCCTTCCCTACTCAGAACCAGACCCTAAGCCCCTAAACCCTAAACCCATACCCCCCCCTTCCCTATTAAGAACCAGACTCAGACAGTAGAGGTGACCCCAAATCCTGAGAAAGGGCCCGCAGGCTCCAGAATAGTTCCTTTTGGGGATTACCTTATAGGATTCGATATCTGAACCCCCAAAACGAAATAATTACTGTGGAGCCCTAAATCCTAAGAAAGGGCCGGGAGTCTCCACGCAGACTCGGAGCTGAACTTCGAAGACCTGGGCTCACAAAGGATCATGGTTTAGGGTTTAGGGTTTGGGGTTTGGGGTTCAGGGTTTGGGGCTCAGCTACTTGAAGGGTTTAGGAGCTTAAAGGTTTAGGGATTTAGGGGTTTAGGCGTTTAGGGGTTCAGGAGTTTAGGGGGGGGTAGGGGATACGAGGTTTTGGGTTTAGAGTTTACGGTTAAGGCATCATGGGCCTTATTTGGTTGAAGGGTTCCGTCAACGGGTCCTTGTTGCTTACAAGGTCATGGGGTCTGGTTTAGGTACTTACAACCTTTCTTCCTAAGTCCCATGATGCTCCAAGGACTCTTTTGGAAGAGAGCCACCGGGGCCCGTAGCGCTCCAGACTCCTGACTCAGCCTGGAACCTGATGTTAAAGGCTTCTACTTCTTATCATGCGGCGTGCTTTTGCAGTTATATGTATATTAGACCGTATAACTTATATTATCAGGAATACAGCAGCACAGTAGCCAAGAACACATGAAACCCAGTACCAGCAGGGAAACGTGCATCATATACATATATATATATGTACATACATACATACACATTATATATATATAGATGTATATAGATACAAACAGAGAGATATATATATATATATAGATATATATATATATACAAGTATGTACATACATACATACATACATACATACATATATATATATATATATAGATACATATATATACACACATATAACATGTATATATATATATATGTATTAATTTCTTATTTCCACAGACATTTTCTCATTTACGAGCCAGAGAATGGCCAAAGTTTTCGCCCAGGCGCATCTGAGAGAGCACCGCATCTTGGCGATCAAGCCGCGAAATCAGCTCTCCTTGGTTACTTAAAGGATCACGGGACTTAGAAAACTGGCGTTATAGATGAGGTAACGGTAACTATACTTATAATTACTTATAACCCCAATCAAGGTACTCTACAACCTTACCTACTAAGTCCCATGATCCTCCAAGTATGGGCTAGGGAGGGTTCAGGGGTTGGTGTTTAGGGTTAGTTTGCAGGCCGCGTATACGGGCACAAAAAATTAGCATAGGCCTTGGGGGAATGGAACATTAAAGTATAGCCATATGGGAGTTTCCGAAAATCAGACACCCGCAGTTTAATTTTCGGAAAGTCCCCTTTAGGGACTATCAGGGGCTACACCTTTTTCCGAAACCATCCGGCGTCAGCCGGCGGGGAATCAATACTCTGTTAGGGTTTAGGGTTTGAAGTTAGGGTTGTCTTGTTGTGATTTCAGGCGTATTCCGCCATTGAAGGATTGGGGGCTGTTGCCTTGAAAACAGCAACCCTCTTCACTGCTACTACCGCCACTGCTTCTGCAGTTAGTGCTGGTGGTGGTAACAGTACTGATGATACTAATAGTAGTAGTGACGATGATAATAATAAGAAGAAGAATCATAAACCATCATCATCATCATCACCGCCATCGTCATCGTGATAATTAGACTCAGAACATGCGTAGTAACAACACTGGAAGGAATACTAGAAGTACTGGCTGCAGCAGCAGCAGAAACGGAGGCAATACCACAACCAACCCCACCACCATCGCGATGACGACTGCCACTAGCTAACCCTGAACCCTCATTAAACCCTTTTAACCCTTGCCAGCTGAAGTTGTCGAAACACACTTGTGCTATGTTATTTAAACCCTCCAATGCGAGCATCAGAGCTTGAACCTGCCCTTGAAAACCCTAGAGCAGCAAGGTCTCGGTGGTACGTATCCAGGAGCAGGAAGACGTCCCTTCTATCGGCCTGGGCGCACAGTTCGGCATAAGTGTGGTTGCGCATCGAAGGGGGTATGCAGGTTTAGTTTAGGGTCTGCGCGACAGAGAGGAATACTGTGCACAGACCTTTGGAGGTGGCGTGCCGGTTTGCATAGCGTTGTTGCGAAGGCTAATCTAGAGAGGCCTTCAAAATTGGAAGAATAAGGCTTTCGGATATACTAGAAAATAGTAGTTCCGGCCTCTACAGTATGTGGCCAGTTGTCCTTGCTTCGGACAAGATGATGTTCCGTCAATCCCTTCAAACCTTCGCGTGGCAAAAAGATTCTGAGCTCCGGCTACGACACCTGACTTTGAAATGCAGGATAGGCAACGGTCAATGGATGTGTTGTTTTTTTGGTTTAGGGTTAGGGTGTAGGGTGTAGAGCAGACCAGACCTGAAAAGAAGACCAGATGTCTTCGGCTCTGGCGTAGAAGAAAGACATCCTTCCAGGGGGATTACTAGACCCTTCGAAACTGATGTTTATGTCGAATCTACCACTACCGCACCTGCCACAGGAAACAGGCTTCCTCTTGGATTTAGGGTTTAGGGTTTAGGGTTTAGGGATTTGTTGATGGCATGTTGTTTCTTGGCGTTTAGGGCTTGGAAACGCTTCAAGCCCAAGGCCTCACTGCTGCAACCTGGAAGACCTACGCTACCAAAAGCAAAGATGTATTCAAGCGGAAAACCTCAAGCCCTAATGAGAAAACACGAGGCACAATCCCCAAATCCTTAAACCTACACACTAACCCCATAAAGCTGCACAGCGGGAATGCCGATAATGGTCATCATGAACATAATAACAACACTACGAACAAAACACGATAGTACTAATGAATACTCGTGACAACTCAAAAGTGGTACCAATGCCGATACTGGTAATGGTACTACTCGTTATGGTCTCATCATCACATCATCTTCATACTAATACATATACAAACACAAGCATAAATACGAGTACTGATACGAATATTGTTTCTAATACTACCACTAATACTGGTACTGATATTGGTGAAACTACTACTACTACAAGAAAGAATACTAATGATTATGTTACTGCCAATACTAAATACCAATACAAGCTGCCGCCGCACTACACCGCTAAACCCTGATCCCCGGTCCGGCCCCTAAACCCGGAACCCACAACCCAAAATCCTCAATCCCAAACCCTAAACCCTAGACCCTGAACCCAGGACCCCCGCGCCCGTCAGCCAATGGTAGCCCGGGTTGGCCGCGTTTGCCTTGGGCAAGGACTCCACGGGCTCCTGTGCAGCGGCAACCAGAGCTTCGAGGCTTTGCTGTGGCAATAATAATTATACTAGTGGCAGATTGCAATACTCTTTCTGCTAATAGTAACAATAATGAATAATGACAATTGTAGCAAGTGGTATAAGGACGCGAATAACAAAAAAAATAAAGGCAATAAATGACAATAAAATACAGTGAATAATTAAAAGTTCAAGTACCAATAAAAGTAACAGTAGTAGTAGTAGTAGTAGTAGTAGCAGCAGCAGTAGTAGTAGTAGTAGTAGCAGCAGCAGTAGTAGTGTAGTAGTACTAATAATGACCATCTTATAATACAAACAACAAGAACAACAATACGAGGAATATAAAAAAACACTTTTAAAGGCAATACCAGCAACAATATACAGAAGATCATATTAGTACTACTTGTGCTGCTCGTAATGCTAATTGCAAAAACACGAGCACTGACAACAAAACAATAACAAAAACATAGGTAATAAAAACAGTAGTAATGATATTAGCACTGATAGTTATAATAATGGTAATTATAATACATGACCTTACTAAGGAATAAACAGTAATGACAACTCTTAATATAACAGTGATTATACTGATGATGGGAACACTAATTATAATTATAAAGTAAAAAACAATGAGAGTAACAATTCGCAGATCAACGGCACTATAACATAACATGCAACATGATACTTTGTATTTTGGTATACTTTACAAACAATACAACAATAATGAAAAATGCTGACACTATCAACAAGAAGACGAAGTAGAAGAAACACTTCGCTCACAAGGTAAACAGAGCAATCACAATTTTCAATGTACTGATAACTAGTAATGTACCAATACCAACAGAAATAAAACTACTCCAAGTAGGAAGAAGATGTAGAGGAGCTGTAGTTGCCCTGGCAACAATGATCGAGTTCATAACAGATATGGAGAATTCTGTACTCATGATCGTAATATCAATGATAATGGAGAGAACTTACGGACATGCAAATCCAATCATGCACCTGTTTATGACTGATGAATGCAGGGGGATGCTCCAGACACAGACTTGCATGCACCTTCCAGTAAATACCCTCAGAATTTTCAAGGCATAAAAACCGGAATCCTATCTAAGCCCTGACGCCCTGAAAAACTCCCAGAGTCCTTAAAAGGGTAAGCTAAGGTATTTCCTAAACCCCCTATCCTTAAGCCTAATGCCTTGCCGAATCCGAATTTTGCTGAGGAGCCTCCGCAGGCGGCTGTGGCGCAGCCATCGCCGTAGGAAAGGCTTCCTCCCTTTGGGAGGAAGGTTGTAGTGGACCGCTGGCCCGTTTTGCTCTTAAACTCCTAAGCCCCCTTATAAAGGCCCTGAAAGACCCTCCAGCCTTAAAACACTGGCAGAACAGACGATCAAGCATTGATGCACGGAACACAGGAAGCAATCTTGAATGTTCTTGCTGGCAAGCCGATCCCCGAAAACTGTCACACTTCTCTCTCCTGCTCGGCCTAGCACTGCAACTCTCAATCTCAGGGCACGAAAGCCGGGATGTACCAGCCTTAACAAACGGACGCCAAGCAGAAAAAGCACTGATACACTGTAATCGCCCACCAAGCTTGAGCCACGAAGCAAGGCGCAAAAGAACTTCAGCCCTCCCCTCGCACCCAAGGGCTTGGGGCTTGGCCACGAAGTTCTGAGTCCTGCAAGCCCAAAAACCGCAAACCTACACTCTGAAAGTCCGAAGAAATAGAAAAATCGAAACTTCTGTTTTGGGCTTGGCGGAAGGAGCTCTCTCCCAGACAGTGCGCAGGTTGAGGGTTAAGGGCTCAGGGCCGCCGTAGGGTTAGGGCATAGACCTCACTGTCAGGGCTCAGTGATCAAAGCTTGCAAGCTTTACACCCTAGTTTCGGGTTCGTGTCTTGTGGCTCTTTAGAGGGGTTTTGTATAGGATTTTATCAGGCTTGTTTATCAAAAACATACCTCAAAGCACGTTAAGGATCCGACTTTGATTGTTCCTTAACTAAGGGGTTTTAGGATCGCTAAGGTCAACCCTTAATTTCTGATTGCACACGCAGTTGGAGCGGGGGTGTACAGAGCATGAGGGGTCCCATAGTAGTTAAAGTAGTGGTCCTCATGAATGAACCATCCTTCTTAGAGCCCATATTGGGATGCGTGTGTAGGAAGGCTCATTAAAAACCGTGAACCCTACTGTACAGGATCGGAGGTCCGGTGTCACCTGAACCTCTCGCAACACAAAACGGGCGCCGTGCAGCGCAGAACACTGGCGAGAAGAATAAGAAGATGGAACCTGTTGCAGGAGAGCTATAGAGTTTCTGTAAGGCTTCTCAAGGGGTTCAAGACGGGTTTCATGCGGGTTGTATATGAGTTTCATACGGGCTCCAGATTCGAACTACGAGCTTCCAAGCTGCACTCGAAGCCCAAAAATCCCTCAAGCTCGATTTGAATGATCCCTAGCTAAGCTTGGAGCAGGAGACTCTCTAAACCGCGCTCGTGCATGGCAGCTCAGCTGCATGCTTCCTGCTCAAATCCGGGATCTAGTTCCCTAGTGTTTAGGATTGAGAGCTAAGATTGAAGGGTTCGACTTCAGTAGGGTATAATGACGGTATACTGAAAGGATCATGGGACTTAGTAACTGGGGCTATAAACAAGGTAACTATACATATAGTTACTTATAACCCAAATTAAGGTACTTATAACCTTACTTACCAAGTCCCATGATCCTCCAAGTAATGATGCTGATGACGACGAAGACCGCAAGGCTGACCATGAGAGTTTCAACTGCTCCCGAAAGGCTTAGCACTGGAGTTGCTGATGCTCTCCACCTGTGAACTACGCTCTAATCAAAGGGGAAAAGGAGGGACCCTTAATTAATGGGGACCCCTACCCCATAATAGGCTAAACAATGGATATATAATGGCTATATTAAGGGTATATACCTGAGGGTCCTTATTAAGGGTCCCTCCTTTTACCCTTGGATCGAAGGCTTAGGGCCCTAAACCCTTGAACCCCAGACCCTGAACCCTGAACCAGGAATCCTTAAACCACTCATCCCAAAAGGGCAAACCCCCCAACCCTGTGCCCAAAAACAGGCGCCTACCAGGTAGTTCTTGCCCGATAGGATCTGATCCGTGCGGAGCAGCAGGAGCGTGATGCCGCAGAAAACGAACATCCCTTGGGCGAGTTTAGGGTTATGCTATTGTTTAGGCTTGAGGAGCTTCCACCACCCCCGTCTCACACCTGTGTAGTTAATTCCATCTGCCAGCATGTACAGTGCACGGCATGAGCTGAACTGCCGACTAAAGCCACAGACCTGAAGCACTCCCATGTAAAACTCAAGCTCGGATCTCCTTGAACGACTCACATCATGCTGATTCTGCATACAAAGACAGAGCTCTCCTGTCATGCACATCATGGTGATAGTTGCTGTCATGCTTCACACCATGCATCATTGTTCTCGTTATGGGAGCTTCAGGCTATAAGGTATCGTGCTATAATATCTGCTATAGAACCCTATGCGACGGGATCCTCAGTAGCACGACCCGTAATTCTAAGCCATCCTCCAGCCAAAATCCTTGTACTGCCTCTCAGCATATAAACAAAAACAACTCCTTTTGAAGACCCTCATAAGGCCCCAACAAAACCCTCAGAAAACCCTGTCAAAAACATCTCGAGAAACCAGCCCATAAATGATAGTGTAAGCCTTATCCAAAAAACTTAAACCTTAAACCATGAAGTTCTTACAGAACCCCACACCAGCCTGCCCAAGCTCCCACCGGCGCCGCCAGCTCCGTGCAAACATAGGCGAGGCCTGGGGAACACCCGGTGAAACCCCAATAAAGGTGGTGTTTAAGTTACGGGTTGGGGGTTTAGCCCTAAACCCTAAACCCTAAAGCCTAAACCCTAAACCCTAAACCCTAATTGCTGCAATCCGCCTTCTCAAACTGCGCTGCAGAGAGAAACGTGTTTGAAGTTGCCCGTCACTCGTCCACCAAGACACAGCTGCTTCACAAAGCACAGTTGTTTCCCGAAAGTCGTGTTGCCTGCAGTTAGCCAGAGGTTAGAGACATCATGCATCCAGACCCCTTTGAGGACTGGCAAAACCATCTCGAAGTGTCGTCAAGATGGGCCGCATGGAATCCCGCATCAAGGGTGGGGCGGAGCCAGGGAGGGTTGCGCAAGAGCTTTCATGGCCCAAAGCTAAACACGTCACTTCTTGAGCAACATGCGTGGTGGAAAAGGCCGTGCTCAGGATTGGATCTTTCAGCTTTCGACTTTGGCGACTGTTGTACTGCAGAATGCCACCACCCTTCAAAGACAGCTCTGCAGCAATATCCCTTCATTGCTGCAATCCGCCTTCTCAAACTGCGCTGCAGAGAGAAACGTGTTTGAAGTTGCCCGTCACTCGCCCACCAAGACACAGCTGCTTCACAAAGCACAGTTGTTTCCCGGTTGCCTGCAGTTAGCCAGAGGTTAGAGACATCATGCATCCAGACCCCTTTGAGGACTGGCAAAACCATCTCGAAGTGTCATCAAGATGGGCCGCATGGAATCCCACCTCTCCAGCACTGGACCTCCGAAGTAGGGCCGAACAGGCAGAAGCAGCCAGCGCAGATGTGCAGTGTCCATGACGTAAAAACATGCAAGCACGAGGTCTGGCAAGGACCGGTGCCAATTAAAGGCAAGCGCATACCACCCAGGTAGCAGCGCCGAAGGCACCCCGAGGTGCAATGCAGGGGGCACAACCCGCACCAAGCCCACCAAACTGTGTGACAGCCTTCGAGCCCTGCCTCCGGACTCGGACCATTGTGCACAAAGACGAGCACAGTGTCGCCAAGACCCGGTCACACAGCAGAGAGCGTTAGCTAACTGCCTGTACATGAACGATGAATTTGAGGAAGCCTGAGCAGCCAAAAATTGTGTAGCCGGCTGAAGTGCGTCGGGGCAACATGTCCCATCGGTCCCAGACGGGGGCTCTGCACCACGGCGGCACGCACAAGGCGATATCCATTCCAGCATGCAGGACACCTGCCAGACCCATAATGTCCAAACGGCTCATGACAGGAAACTCCACACCACGGCGGCACACACAAGGCGATTTCCATTCATTCCAGCATGCGAAGCACCAGCCAAAGCTTGTTGTTGCCATTCCCGCACCACGTCGTCTTGTAAAGAAGGCAACTTGAGGAGCCCCGAAAGTTAAAGGACCATTGCAAACTGTAGTGCGGCTCGTTGACCAGGAAGAAAAAGGCCCAGCTGCACATCCCCACCACCAAAGTAGCAAGGAAGGACCCAACCAACGCTGGAGTGGCGCAGGGGCTGCAAGGCCCATTGCGCAAGAGCTTTCATGGCCCAAAGCTAAACACGTCACTTCTTGAGCAACATGCGTGGTGGAAAAGGCCGTGCTCAGGATTGGATCTTTCAGCTTTCGACTTTGGCGACTGTTGTACTGCAGAATGCCACCACCAGTCAAAGACAGCTCTGCAGCAATATCCCTTCAACCCTAAGGGTTTAGGGTTTACGGGGGGCTTTCCGGGTTTAAGATTAAGCTTTAGGGTTTGCAGGGCAAGGATCCAGGGATTAAGGCTTCGGGACTAGGGTTTAAGGCTTTAACAACTTTGAAGCTTTCCGGTTACAGTTTTACTACTATTTGCTTAAGAAACCCCCAAAAAAATACAAATAATAATCCCTATATTACCCCCATAAGGAATATATTTTTTATTTTTTTGGGGTTCTTAAGCAAATAGTAGTTTAGGAGTTCAGAGCTATAGGTCAAGATCTGATGTTCCGGTTTGGGAGGAGATCTGGCATTTACGAGACAACCGTGTAGGGTAGATCCAGATTCTAGAAGAACCTGCACCCGGAAGCACAAACCCGAGATCCACTCCACATCCTACTAAGCCCTGAAGCAACAAGCCCCAAGAACACCCAGGGAAAGCCGCCCTTCAACAAAAACAAACTAGGTGACAACCCCAAACTGAACAAGCACCTCTACAAAACAGAAACGTCGACCAACAGCTACAAAAAAAACCCAGATGAAACAAGAAAACCCTAAACCCGAAACCCTAAACCCTAAACCCGAAACCCAAAAGGCGAGTGGCAGTAGAAGCAAAAGAAGGTCGCCAAGGAGCTGGTCCCTGCCTCGGATCCCACACAAGCTCGGCTGACCGCCAGGGTTTTAGGGGTTTAGGGTTAGGGTTTAGGGCTAGGGTTTAGGGGTTTAGGGTTTAGGGTTTAGGGTTAGGGTTTAGGGTTTAGGGTTAGGGTTTAGGGTTTAGGGTTAGGGTTTAGGGGGGGTTTAGGGGTTTGGCAGTTTAGGGGTTTAGGATTTGGGGCACGGCTGAGGTCTTCTTTGAGCTTGGGGTTTAGAAGAGCTGCTACGCCTCAGGATGGTATCTTTTGTTAGGACGTTGATACAGCCGGGACATGGGGGTTTCCGAAAAGTAGGAGTACCTGATCTTGCTGTCCTTTTTATAAAGATCCTAGTACTTAGGGTACTATATTAGGGTCACCTATCTTCGGAAACTCCCACATAGATTCTCCATAATTTCTGTCGTCTGAAGAACAGCTTGAAGCAGCAGACTGGCACACGCGCGTCTAGAAGAAAGCGTGCAAGCTTCATAGGGTTCATACTTGAAGGGGAAGGGGACTTAGCAAGTAATGCTTTCAGTATGGGTACAATTGGAGTAACTCCATTTAGGGTACTTATAACTCTACTTATAACTAAGTCCCCTGCCCCTCCAAGTAGGATTGAAACTGCTGACACGTTGTGCCATCTGGAGACCTTGCTACCTGAACTGAGTAGAACTATTCGATTCCAACGAAACCGTCCACCCTCCAGGCGGCCACTGTAGGGGCTAGGACCTAGGATACAACACGGGCCAGGCTTTCAGTGTAGAAGGTTGGGAAGCTGCCAAAATCCCAGATCTTCTCGGGATCCCAAAAAGAATCTCCTGCAGGCGCAATGATCAGTCCATATATCTCCGAAGCATTGGGTGAGAGATTGACAAGGCACTTTCGCATGAAACATGGGCCCATCCAGTTTCTGAGTCCATGGACACTCATGGAGACACGGCAGAAGGCGTCGTAGGTGTTAAAGAACCTTGTGGCACAGTGATGCCAGATTCGCTCAATCAAGGGAGCTACGGAGGTCTCCTGTAGCGTTATACTGTACATTATATAATATATACTGTATATTATCAAGTATATACTATATATTACATATTGTATGTATATCGAATACTTCGCGTATCTGCTACAACGATCGTGCAGAACACTAACTTTAACGACACCCAAAGGGACAATGAGCCAGATAAAGCTCGGCATCCTGGAACAGATCTGGGGGCTTGCCCGGGGCTCTTCAAAATAGTGGGGTTACACCGCTGCAGCGCAAGCGCAAGATCTGAGTCCGAGAGAAATCCAAGGGCACCTGGCGGTTTAGGGTTCGGGGCTTTGGGGTGTTGAGGCTTTCGTCCCTTGAAGCCCCCGTGTAAAAGCTCGAGAACCAAGAACCTGAAACCCGAAACTTTGCATCCCAGGCACTTCGCCGACTCACGAATCAACCAGACGTGGCGCCTCGGAAACAACAGCATGCACGAAAGTTCTGACCCGTGTCGGGCTCAGCGACAGCAGACCATATACATCTCCAGCATGCACTGACAGCGATACTGATGACAACAGTGGCGATGACTATGACGACGATGGTGGTGCTGAAGGTGCTGGTGCTGATGGTCACAGGCATAGTCGTCATGACGCTCTGGTCACAGCGATGATGATGATGATGGTGATACTGGCAGTGATGATGATGATGACGATGACGATGATGATGGTAGTGGTGATGGTGATGGTCAGGCTGGTGAAGCTGGTAATGCTGGTGGTGATGAGCGTGCTAATAATGGTGACGGCAATGACTCTGACCATAACAACTAGTCATGGCCATGATGGTGATGATGGCAGTTCAAGAAGCAACTCTGATTCTGCTTCTTTGGTTCAAGTGGCTGAATGATGCGAGCATCGGCGACAAGAAATAGTATTACCGATAGTAGTGGTACTAGCCCCGATCCTCATGTTACTACAGCTGCTACTGGTACTACTTTCCTGCTACTATTGCTACTACTAATGCTACTGCTACTGCTACTGCTACTGCTACTGCTACTGCTACTGCTACTGCTCCTGCCACTGCTACTACTACAAACTACTGCACTACTAGGAGCACCAGCACCAGCACCACAACCACCACCACCACCACCACCACCACCACCACCACCACCGCGACTACGAAATAAGGCAACACCGAAGAGCTGAACCCACTGAGAAGCATGTGGGTGGTTGTCAAAATTATGGTCCCTTTTTGGGTACCTTAAATAATAGGTGTCGTACTATATTAGGGACACAAAAAGGGACCATAATTTTGACAACCACTCATGTGGAGACACGCGCTTGGATTTCAAGACGCGAGCTTGAAGCCGTAGGCTTTCAGGCCCAGGAATTTGGAGTTGAGCGCGAGGCTGCTTCTCCACGTCATGGTTCACATTCGGATCCAATTCGGAGAGACCTGGCCACGGCACTTCTTTTGAACTCTCATTCCCAGAAACTCTAAACCTTAAACCGTCCAAGCCTTCGCCCCTCCTCTCGAGGCCCCAGGGATCTGCCGCCATCCTTCGGAACGGAGCGACAAACGAAAACGGGTTTAGGGTTTAGGGGTTTAGGGTTTAAGATTTAGGTTTTGCTTTTTGATGCAAAGGGCCCTTTCTCCTGCCCAAGACCCTGCCTTGTCGCAGGGTTGCATGGTAGGGTTTAGGGTTTGAGGTTGAGGTATAGGGTTTTAGCGAGCTGAAGCACAAAAAACACAAACTCGCAGAGCCCACACACAACCTTGTAAGGATTCAGGGCTTCGGGCTTGCGGTTTCTATCTCTGTGGCTGCTTCGGCTGTATAACATAACACTACCTTACGAATGAGAATGCCTCTTTGTTTCAGTGGCTAGGGCCGTTGTGTGCAGCTCCTTGGCGAATTCAATATCTATCATCTCCTTGTAGTAAGACGAGTCTCAGATTGCAAAAAACTTATGTAGACAGTTTGTCGCTGATCCGTTCTAGCACTCACAGATTATAGACATGTTTGCCATGGATCTTGCATGTGATCTCTTTGTGTTCCTGCCTACCTTGAAGGAATCCAGCGCAGGCTACGTGCTTCCGGAAGGTTAACCTTTTTGGTTATATAGGGATTATATAGGGGCTACACTACCCAGAAAAGGTTAGAGGTTACCTACTCTACTACTAGGAACCAGTGAGCTGAACACTACACCCTAAAGCCTGAGATCTGTCCAGCAAACCAGGAGTATAGTTCTAGTGTCTTATATGGGGGTGTCCGAAAATTAGGCATACCTTATCTTGGGGTGCTTATAATAAGGATCCGACTATTTAGGGTATCATATTAGGGTCCCCTGCTCTTGGAAACTCCCATATGATACTTCACTACATATGATATCCAATTTTTTCATATGAATACCGACTCCCAGCTCTTTGCATATGGGAATCTCCGAAAAGAGGGGACCCTGATATAGTACCCTGAATAGTAGGATCCTTATTATAAGGACCCAAAATAAGGTACCTCAATGTTATCAATAGCACAATGGGCCCCAAAACTATATTCTGATTATGAAGGCCCCGGTACTATAGAACCCTTATTATCAACCCCTTATAGTGGCCCTTGTTGTCCCCTTTAAAGGAACCTATTCTAACTATTAAGGCCCCTATCTATATGTGGGTGGTTGTCAAAAGCAGGGTCCCTTTTGGGGTCCTTATTATAGTAATACGGCACCTATTATTTAGGGTACCCAAACAATGACGTTAATTTTGACAACTACCCACATGTATACCCGAAAGGCCCGTGAGGGCCTCGACCTTAAGGGCCCTCGACCGGATACAGTAGAAGCCCAAAAAGGTTGGAAACCTAATAGCCTCAATCCTTAAGAGTGATGTATAGGGAATCCCAGCACTATTTGGCCTTAATCCGGTT